GGTTCGAACTTTCCTAGCTCTCTTCACAATTCCCTTCAGAATTCGAAGCCATACCATCTTGCTTAAGTTGAAACCTTTTCTTAAGGCAGTGAAGCTTGACTGTCAATGGGCTTGAGGATATATACCATTTCAATTGCATATCAGGGTATTACTAATTTGTGCTTGTAGAGGTTGATATCTGGTACTACAAAGGGCCTCTTTAAAAGTTAAACCCAATAGGGGTAGCAAAATATTTCAGTATAAGTAATAAATTTTCCATCTAAAGCGTTTTTTATTTTTGTCATTATACGATACTGCTATCGTTTCAACGATATTACCTATTATAAGCTATCACAAACTCTATGCTTAAAACTTCTAGTCACCCTCAGTCGCATAAAATAATGAAGAACTGATAGTTGAATCTTTCCATGATGACACGAGTAGGCCTCGCACCTCTTTTAAATTTAACTTAATCCTACTCCTTAAGAGCTATGTTTATCCAGGATGAATTGCATTTTGGACCTCGCATATGTCTTCTCTGCTCCCCTAGTGGTTAGCAAGATTTCGAGATTATACGTTACCCTATCCGGGTTTGAGTCACCTTGGAGGTGATACTGAAATTCAGGCGAAGTCAAAACAAGGCTATGTAAAATTCGATGGCACCATTAGGTCTGCTCAAATTATTATGGGGAAATTCACTATCAGTCCATCAGCTTATGAGGCAAATGGTAAATATAACTATTATTCAGCGAAATTAGTACAGTAGTTGATTAAATACCCATTCACTATCTATCGGGCAGTGGAGCATAATAGCAATACATCGAAATTATACGCTGGACTATCACAACCTAAGTCCTATTCCCGCTGAGAGTGCTGACGAGACTTAGTTAAAGTTGAAATTGATGCCACGTCCAGCTTGGATGATAATAAATTTTGGGAAGGGAGGCTAAGTGAAATTCATTGGTATCGTGATGGCTACTCATCTCATTGTTGAAAAATTCAACGGTCAGTCCTCTATTCCCCTTATGCGACCTAGAGCAAATATAGCTTTATTTAAAATCTAGCATCATTGCTAGAGAAAATAAGAATACTTATCCAAATATTACAATAAAAGCAACAAATACAACAAGCTAGCATGCATTTTAATGAGCATCAAGGATGAGTGGACATTCAAACAGTATGAAAGAAATGCAAGCTAATTTCGTGTAAATTGCTCGCATATCGAATTGAAGTGGGATGTTGAAGGAAGGAATAAAGGCCAAAGAACGCAGAAAGAAAACGCATTCTACTTTTTTGACTTAAAAACGTTGCTTAGCATGCTGTGAAGCTTCCGCTTTTCTTCTACAATGTCTTCAGACTTCGTGGACATGAGCTGTTGAGCACTCCCTTTAATCAGAGATCTTCGTCTTTCCCTATCACGAAATGCTTTCGGTGTGGTGGTCGTCAGCGTATCCGGCTCTTCTTGACATGACGTGGCGCACTTCTCGATGTATTCGCGGATGGTATTTGCAGCACGAAATTGAAACTTGCAAGCATAAGCGATTGCGACCTCTTTCATGGCCATTGCCACCTGTGGGGGCAGGTACACGGGATCGGGTAGACGAGTAGCTTCTTGATTTGTGGTGTCTTTAGTACTGGCCATCTGTTGTGCATACGCTATTTCATATATTGTCAGATTTTTCTCACTAATTGGGCCAAATCTTTTCTCTTGATAATAGTCAATCAATTCACAAGCAATCACCATGGCATCATCGTGGAATTTCGCGTCATTGCAGGCTCTTGCCATTTTACAGATGAGAATCGACCAGCCTTGCTCTTCTTTTGGCAGATTGGCTTCCATTTCAACAAGGGCCATTTGCATTAGTTTTATCCCCTCTTGATAATATCCCCAGTTGACAAGGAAATGGCCTGTTCTTGTATACTGCCGGATAAGAATGGTTTTGTCCTTGCTCGTGACAGAGTCCTTTTCCAAAATATCAAGTGCCTGGTAGGCCGTTTCTGTGGCTTTCTGTAGATTATTCATTCCATTGTAAATGAGGGCAAGAACGTTTAAAGTGGCTGCTATAATTGGTTTTCCTGCACCATATGACTTGGTCCGAATCTCGAGAACTCTTTTCATTTGGGCCTCGGCCATAGTAAAGAGACCCTCTTCGTAGGCCCTTTTGGCAATGATTTCCAGGTATGTGGCCAGTGTTGGAAGATTTTCCTCGTCGACTTGTGGTAATTTATCTATCAATTCCAGGGCTTCTTCTTCAAAATTGGCGTCAATTGCCACGTAGATAGGTTCAACGGCACGCATTAAGGGCCCAGCTATATCACTGTTCCATTGTACGTCGAAAATCTTGACCTCGTGCCAAACTGCGTGCTCGTCGATTGTGAGATTCAGGCTGTACTCAATCTTATTAAGATCATACAAAAACTTCCAATAGAGTGATTCTTCTTTGGAGGCTGATAATCGGCCTTCGGTGTCGTGGATTTTCTCTATTACAAACGAAATAGAGGCCTTCAGTTCTTTATTTTCTCTTACAGCCTTCTTAAAATCCGATTTAATCTTATTTATCACCGTCTCACTTGTATCCACCGCATCTGTTGCATACACCATCAGACTCGCCGCATATGCTGCAAGTTGACATTTAGCCATTAAAGAAGCCCATTCCCCATGTTCTGCCTCCATGTTAATCTGAAGAATCCTATTTTTCTCACTCTTTCTCATTGTCATCAGTTTGTTTATCCTCTCTTTTATTTGTTCGTTCAGCTGAGTCGTCTTTTCAAGGACACTCTTACAGCCGTTCTTTATATCCGGACCTGTTCTAACAAGTGCGGCACTACTGCCACGTGAGTCCAAAGACCGAGTATCCCGTAAACGTGTTTTCTTTTTATCCTCTTTCTCCCTGCTCTGCGAAGCTGTCGGAGCTGTTGATTTTGGAGCTGGTTCGCGTTTTGACATGCTGCTTGATGGACATGCGTCAGGCTTTCTGAAACAGTATAAGTGGGCCCTGGGCATTCTGTTTTGAACTACAGGCTGATCAATGTGTCCAGTTTGACGAGCACGAGGTGGGATAAAGTTGGAGGAAAAAGGACGTATTTAAACGGCCTCGAGCAGGGCTGCGAGACAGCCTTGAAGGTGATCTGTCATTTGGTGTTCGTGTTTGGGGTTCTATACTAATCGGTCATTTCAGTTGACCAAGAGCTTTTAGCTTTTTGGAAATCTGCTAGCAAGAACAGTAGGTGTGGATAAGGCGGGGTTAATATTGACACATATGGGAGCCTAGCAAGCGGAAATTTGAGGTAAAATTCGAAGTCTAGTCTCAGTTACAGAGAGAAGACCAACTATGGGCATAGGCTATATGGTGGCCATATAGCACCTATTAGGGCTCATTCACTACATGTTCAGGCAAGGGGAACAGGCCAGAAACGAACCATATCTTCGATATAAGTATTTTTCTTAACTATCAGTAATTTTTGAATATGAATTTAGTTACCCTAGGTTGATTTAAAGACTGATAGATTAGTTTTACCACAATCCATCCAGTATGGACTGGAATTTCTACCACGACTCATCGTCTCATCAGCACCCCTAGGTTGGTTTGAGATCAGGCCGTAGGTATCATGGCGATGTTACCACTATTATCACTACTACACCAAGCGGATGCGAGTGCAAATGGATCATATGGCAACCAGG